TTTAACTCTACGGGCTCTATGGCCGGTCCGTGCCCCCGACCTTTAAGCGGCGGTTTCCAGCAGGAAAAGCTGGAGGCCGGAAAAGAGTTGAGACAGGTAGCGCGCAAAAGTAAAAGTGGAACCGAGAGTGGTACGAGAGACAGAACGAGAGCACGACAGACAGACATTACGAGAGCGAGACAGTTTGTCCCCGTACCACTGGTTGAAAACCGCTGCTGTAGATCACTGCCGGTACGTGCGCTGGGAGCGCACCGTTTAAGTTTGAAAGTTGAAAAGTTTGTGTGTCTGAAACGCCATGTGATACAGTACAGTTTACACAGCACAGTACATGTTCTGTAGCTACTATTGCACTAAATGGTAACACTTGAATACGTTATGCAAATATATGCAACTTGTTTGTTGAAATGTTAATAAATGGGAGCTTCCTCAAACAGCCATCTCTTTCCCGACAATCCCCTCTGTGCACGAACCCTTACATATGGTAATTAAACATTAAAACACCTGCGGCTTATAGTCCAGTGCGGCTTATATATGTACACATCATTCAATTTAGCTGCTGCGGCTTATATTCAGGTGCGCCTTATAGTCCGAAAATTACGGTATATACAATTTCTTGATGCTATCGATTTTCATATTGTGCAAACATTATCAACATATCATCAATAAAATGATGGCCCAATACCTGAACCATTATGTTAGTAAGAACCAGTGCTTTACCATCCAGATGAAACAAGTACAAGTGCAGTGAATACAAATAAATGAAAATAAATAAATACATAAAGAGGTGCTGCTAGAGTTGCTAGTATTAATGGGGAACATTTTTCTTCGAATTTATCAGTTTTCAGCTGTAGTCTTGATTTTTGCTTTCATTTGTGCCGTTTCTTTCATATATATGCATCAGTTGGTGAGGCTTGATTGAGACTCACATGTTTTGTGCGCTGCAGGTTGACAATGACCAGTTTCCCTCCTTTGCGTTTTGTGATGAGTGGAAGGTCTCCGCTGGGTTTGATCTGCAGGGAGGTACCGAGCGTCAGAGCCAGGTCCGCTCGTCTGCAGACAGCAGAGAAATACGTCACATGCGCTTCATGTTTTTTATTTGCCTGGTATTCATGGTTGTGCGTTGAGGAATAAGCTGAGTTTCCAATGCTGGGAGAAATGTTTGTTATTGAGGAAAACGTACATTTAAAAGGGTTCAATGTCCTAATTTTGAATGTATTGTTACACATATTATCATTATATTTGAGTCACAGCTCTAAGCATCAGTTTGGAAAAAAGAAAGCTTTCTGGCAACATTGGAATAAACCAAAAATAGTCTGTTTTGAAGGTATTCCCCAGATGTTCTTTATCAAGATTCAAACAAACATGCATCTGAGACAGTGGAATCTGCAAATTTCAACTTTATAAAATAATTCCCAGAATTCCCAAAGGCTGTATCTGAATTTGCCTGACTCTCAAGACGAGACAGAGTCTAATCCTGATATGTATCTTAGTTGTTTTAAAATAGAATACACACTTTAGAAAACAAATCAATATAGCAGCATTGTTGTCAATATTTGCTTTTACAAATATGTATATCTGCCGTGTTTTTGTGGATTAGAAAAGCAGAACAAATCGATTTTTTTTGGAAAAGAAGAAATATTATTTTATCCGGCTGGTTAGAAAGGTTTTCGAGGATCCTGTAAATAACAGCAACAGAAAGTGCTTTTGAAATTATTGCCCGGTAGTTAGTTTTCAAATGAACGGAAGCTGGGCAAACGTGAAAGGCACTAATGGCTGCTCTTAGTAACACTCATCTGGCAAAACCATTTCCAATATGTCACAGTGAATGTAAGAGCATTAACACAGCATGGTATGTATTAATTATGCTTTTTGTGTATAGGTCTCCGAGCCCACCAAGGTGAAACACCAACATGTATTTCATACTGCTGTTCAGAAGACACTCGATAAAAGCTTTTTAAGTCTTAAGGATTGAATGGAAACCTTGACAAACAGGAGGGAAACAATACCATTAAAAAGGTAGTTTAGATGTTTTAAAGTGGGGTTGCATAAAGTACTTATCCATCAGTGTGTTTCCTATGGTAGATGGTGGACGGCAGGGCCCCTTTTCAGAGAAACAGTCAGGAATACCGGGAACAAAAAAAACAATGTACTGCTGTGGATGGGGGCTGCACGTTATTAAAGCACTTAAAACCATTAAAATCAAATTTAGTGCATGCTATATTTGATATCCTTTTAACCCTTGTCATCAGACGGCCATTCTCTGATAGGAAACTGAAGTAGGTACAAATGCTCGTGCCAAATCCAGACTCCATTGACAGAAACAGAACAATATGCTTGCAGGAGATGAGGGTCTATTGCTGCCTCTATTGGTTTGTTTGTGTGGAAAAACAAAGACTATAGCCTCTTGACTGCCAGGCACCTTATTTTAGGTGGGCCTTTTTCAGGTTGATAATTCCTATTTTGCTCCAGTTCCTGTCAACAACAGTACATTGCTTAGCTTCCTGCAGTAACTCCCATCTGTTATATACTGACTGTTAGAGCCAGTATTTTGTTTTTATAAGAAAGGCCACCTAATTGTGACATCTGTAGTCAACACACTATAAAAGACTACAACTCCCACGGCACCTCCTCTAAAGTGACAGTGATGGGCAACCTGCTAGAAAGACGCCGTCGAGGCACAGTTTTTAACCGTCCAATTATCCTTTATGTTATCAAGTTATATAAGCCTTATCAAGAAAGAAAGAATACCTAAGTTGTTTGTTCTTTTATTAGAGTTTTGCCTCTTTGTAAAGGCCTCTTTTCTTTGTTGCATGTGTAAAAGTTTGTTATTTTATTTTGAGCTAACACGTCGCATAACATCATCCAAACCATCGGAGGCCAAGCAACTTTTCAACTGTAAAAATGTCTGTTTAAGGCGTCTAGTGGCTTGAAAGAAAAAACAAGGAAGTAAGCCACGACATTGACCATGGATAAGTACCTCATAGAACCACACTTCAACACATCTGAGCTATCCCCTTTAAGCAGGCTGTGAATCATTTGCATGCCAGGACAGTTGACAGTAAAGCCACTCAGAAAGCAATTAGATCCCACATATTATTTCCCACGTTGGATCTGTGACTTGTACTATTTGGCCGACAATGAAACATGGGTGTCTAAGGAAATCAGGATAAATAAGAGTCTGTGTTGTGGGTCATCATGACAAAATATAAAAATAAAGAAATACGGTTATAAAGAAACGACTGAGCACAAATTGCTGCAATTTGGTCTGACTCCCCCACCTGCTGGCATCTTCTGCTTTGCTCAGGTCTCTGTCCGGAAGAGCATCCTCCCAGTCCAGGATAGTGCTTATCAGCTTCCCTCTAGTAAAGAAGAATACACATACGGTCATACTAAGGAAAGGATCGTGGTTCAATATTTCCAAATGCACTGAAACACGTGTTACCTGCAGGCTCTGAGTCCTCTGGATCGAACCACATCACAGTAACGTCCCGTTGGCTTCAGTCCCATCACACCTATCACTTTGTCTCTGACATACTGCCTGGAAAACCAAGACTCCTATAGGTTACTTCTTTGTTCAGCCTGAAAGCAACATTGTCCATTTATTAATATGAGTATTTCAATCAGTTAGCACCACCACTTGGTGTTGTTTTAGCCATTTCCTGCACATTTAAACAAAAAAAGAATAACACTAGACATCCAAAGACACTTGACTTGCCTAATTAAAAAAATGGAAAAACAACACGGTAACACATGTCACTGAAGAGCAGCTGCTGAGCGATTAGCTGCTGCCTTCATCTATGATTCACAGCAAAGGTAACTTATTCCAATAATAACGGAAGACTGAGTAGGGGAGTGGAGGGAAATGAAGTCACAGCATGTGCTTCATGTGTGTGTGTGTGTGTGTGTGTGTGTGTGTGTGTGTGTGTGTGTGTGTGTGTGTGTGTTTTTGTGTGTGCACGTCGACGACGACA